AATGTTTAGGCCGGAAAATATGGAAGTACTCGTTAACGGCTTACCGGACGAGAGAAAATCGGTATTAGCACAAAAAATATGCAGAAAAAAATAACGTCGGTCTGTGTGATTTCTGCAAGTTCAGCTTACAGTGACGTAAAACTTCCACCTCTGCTGATCTCAACGAATCCATACCTATCTGTACCACTTTTTCCTTCTCTGGTGCACACTGCTGTATTACTTTCTCTACTTTGGTGTTCTTCACGTTTATCATGCCACTTAAATACTGTGTGACCACTGTTTATTTGTCTTCGAATTTTAGTGTCACACTATTTATTCGGCTGCCCTTTGTTAGTCTTTTATTTTTACCTCTATATCTTTTAATTCGACTTCCCCCATATTGAATTCGATTATTCTATTTGCTGTTGAAGCCCACTAACAAGTGTTGTAGCCATTGCTATATTTTTCAATTCTATGTAGATAGCTGCAGAATAGTGGTATCTACTTCAGCGTCCGATTAGCTGGATTTAAGATCTGAGGTCTAGTATTATACGATCTTCAAACTATCTGAGTAAATTAGTGCATGTTTGCTTGTTTAAGTACACCGGTGTTTCGGTCCTATATATTGTCTTTTGGACGTCCGCTGATCTGCAGTTGTGCGTGACTATAAGGCGTCCACTCGTAAGATATTATTTCGAATGCAGCAACAAATATGAAAACATATTGTCCCGCGTTGTCACGTCCACTGTAGTCTTGAACTTATTGTAATCTTCTATTCAGTATTCTCATCGATACGTTTTTGCTACTTGAGGATTAACGGACGGAGATTGTTTTGAATAATTGCTTGAAAATCAGTCCTATCTTTGCACACAGTTAGGTAGTCACGCCAAGGTTTTATTAAATTTTTGGATGCACTTCTGTATGGCGTTTCTAGCCATAAACAGAGGTAAATGCGACCTTTTTCATCCCCTACGACGGGGATAAACAAGCTACTCATACACCGATCGGCGTATAAGCACTTCAGACGGTATACTTTCGTGTGGGGAAGTTGTAGAAAGCCTTTTTAAGGGTATACTATCTTATGCTGGGATTTTTGCTACTTCTTAGTCTACTGAACTTTGACACGTTCTCAGCACTCACGAATTTCTTTTTTTGCGTGTACTCATGAAAAAAAAAAACGATCTGTTTCCTGGTCCTCTTTGTAGACTGGGTTCTTTACTGAAGTTTCCGTTCTATTCCTTGGAACTGAGCTTATGACCATGTTGTGCATTGTACTTCCAGATTTAAGCGCGTGTTCCTGGGGTTTTGCTAATCGATTCACAATAATGGTCCATTAAGCAAATACAGCAAGTGTAGATTCAGCTTGGCGTATATACGTTCGGTAATTATCGTCGGGACGCTGTAAAGTGCCGATGCAAACCCTGCTTGTGCAGGGTCAAATTGTTTTTAGTAGTTAAATAATGATTTCTGGCGCAATATTAAGACTAGATTCTTTCATTTCGCCAAAATCAAAATTCATCTTGGGTCTAAAGAAAATCTGCATTCAATATCTTCTCTTCTGTCTTTTAAAGTTATTCGTTGTCGTGAAGATCTTGGCTAAAAGCAGTTCCACAGTCACCTAAGGGCCGTATTGCGTACCTCCATTCCCGTCCCTTATCTTGCCATTTGGGCATCCTTTCCATCAGTAGGACAA